AAAAGCAATGTGACAGACACAAATACGTTTGACACACTGCACGTGTTCATTAAATAAAGCGGGGGGGGGGGGGGGACGGAGTTGTAGAATAACAATGTGGAATGAGGAGAAGTATAAGTGTCTATACCCAGGGGTAGATCCAGAGTGGAGCTATAGGATGGTCAGGCAGTGAGATGTGACACGGCATAGTAAGTTGGAGATGGCTTAGCTTGAGTCTGGTGTAAGCTGTAATGCTTCTCTTGGTCGGCACAGCAGCGAATGCACAGCCCGCGAAAAATGCAGCTATCTGCATCACGTTGCATGTGCAACGCTGAACATATAATAACTGCACAACGGGCGCGGCTGATGCCAGTGAAGAAGTGATGTCTGAACGGATCTTGGGCCCCACGTTCACCGGTCTGCATTGACCAGCGATCCAGCAGTGGATTGAATGACAACGAAATCATGTAACCTGTAAGACGCGTTGCCGAATAGCAGTGATTCAGGGGTGGGGGGGTGGGTCACAATTCGATGTGAGAAACGTCGTGTTTGTTTTACATTGTGGCGCGCCTCTCTTGGCTGCAGGGGTCACGTGAACTAATTACACGCAAGGGTATATGAATATATCATCATCATTAGACCTCCTTTGCCAGTACCAAATTGTAATAATAGGGTTTTCCCCTTTTTTCTGGCAACAAAACTGAAACTTTTTTTTACGAGGATTCATGTCTGCATTAACCACAATACCTGCAGTCAAAATGCAAACAAAAAACATACATCTTCTTTGGTTCTTTCGGTAAAGTCACGTAGAATGAGAATAAAATAATAAATTGATAAAATAAAATAACACAATAATGTTCTCACGACGTTTCGGCCACAACACAAGCGGCCTTCATCAGGTGAAGGGGACGAGACTGTCTGGAGGACAGCGCTGGAGTGCTGTCCTGTGTTGTGGCCGAAACGTCGTGAGAATATTATTGTGTTATTTTATTTTATCAATTTATTATTTTATTCTCATTCTACGTGACTTTACCGAAAGAACCAAAGAAGATGAATCCTTGCAGTCACGAAAGCTTTAAATCGAAAAAACATACTATGATAATGTATAGCATTGTCCTTGAAACTGATTGGTCCACACCAAGGGACGCATTTTGGCGTCATCTGGTCGAGCACCAATTGGGTCGAGGCTCAAAAGAAAGCCGTCCCTTGGTGTGGACCAATCAGTTTCAAGGACAATGCATATATTATCATAGTATGTTTTTGTTTGCATTTTGACTGCAGGTATTGTGGTTAATGCAGACATGAATCCTCGTAAAAAGGTTTCAGTTTTGTTGCCAGAAAAAAGGGGAAAACCCCTATTATTACATTTTGGTATATGAATAATAAATCATCGATCTGAACGTGCACACAATTTGATGCGTGTACGGTCAGAGCATGAATCCAGTTTATATGTTAAAACATATTTGCCACTATACGGCTGCAGTTCTTTGCCTAAATGAGCTCTATTGACACGGCTTGGTGTCGCACTATAGCTGCCTGCATGCTGCCAAGCACGAGGAAGCATCGGCACGTCGCCTCGGTAAAGAAAATATACGGAGCAGTCTCGATTTAAAAAAAACGCATCCCACTCACCATGGCATTTCCAGAAGCGCCTCTGGAAATGCCGCTTGGCGTGCATCGAAAACCCAAACATGGACCCTGCTGCAGTAAATATAACAACGTGGCAGCTTGGTCGTGATAATGCATTGGCCTCGGGGCGTACTGTTCCTTTTCAGCAATTCCTATTATCCTCGGCGAGATAGGGGTGCTCCATAATTCTTCCTCTTAGCCACATTTCGCACATAATAAAAAAAAAAAACCTTTAAATATTGACCATAATTGAAGCGTCCGTGTTTTCTGTGCATTCCACACACGCACGCAAGCAGCACTGCTCCCGCGCTGTTATTATTATTATTTTAAAGTCAGCATCTTTGGCCCGTTAATAGTCAGCACGATGGTGAGGGATTGGCAATACTACTACTAATAATAATGTGAATTTCATATAGCGTCGTTCATGTAATTGCATCCCACAACGCTGCACGTCAATTAGCCAGACCCCTGCACAGATGATGCAAAAACAAAACCCCACTGCTTAGTAATAGCGTAGCAAATCAGTGCTCGGATACTTTTTTTTTAAATGACACTTTACAGAAAGGTTTGCATGTTGATTCTGAGTGCCACGCCATTATTTTGTCTCATCAAGTTCAATGAAACAAACGGGGAACTGGTTCAGAAATGATACAATAAATAGTAGTCCTTTGTGATTCCACTGTTAAGTGAAGGATTCCCCACACCATATAGAACCATTGGGTTTGACCATACTTCACCACGCTGACCAGTGCGGGTTAGTGAAGGGGAGAATGGGGGCAAGACTGGCCCAGCTGTTACTCGTCACTGACATTAGCCACGGATGCAATGCGAACTTATGTTGCTGTCTGCACAGCAGAGTGCGCTATTCACTGCACCACCCACGGCTCCACACACATTATAATGTGCGGACTCATGAATGTTTGAAAGTGGAGCCGGGGTTATAAAAATACGTGCTTTTCTACAACGTCTCAATGCCACCACGTCTCGCGATGTAGAGAAACAGCGGGCTAATGTGTTGTGTATGTGCCTATTAAATCAAAACGCTGAGCTTACTTGCACCAGTACCTAACTTCTTTTGGAAATGTGTTCTCTTCCACTGTTGCATTAGCTCTTTTTTTCCAAAATCGTTTATGTCAGCCACCGTTTTTGAAAGGGCCCGAGCAATGAACCACAAAAAACCCACCAAATATAATGTTTAGTTCATTAATCCACTTAACTGACTAAACAGCCTTGTTATAAATCAGAATGTTTAAACATGGAGATTGCTTTAATGCGTTCACATGATGTTTTGGTTGACCAGCATAATTTAATTGGCCTTTAATGTTGCTTAAATCAAAATAGCATCCCGCTATTCACAACTATTATCAGAGTACTGTGTCTGTGCTGCTTGATGTCTACATGTATGTGTATGCAGTCTACATTTGCGCATGTAAGTCACGTCATTTTTTAATGGTAACAAAAAATATACAGACGTGGCTAAAGCTGGAGAAGAATCTGACTACAGCAGGCCTGGCACATGCATAGGTAAAAGTACAGCCCTGAAATCTCCTTAACAGATGACTGGCACGCAGAAAGTTACCATTAAGAGGGGATTGCAGTTTAAAAAAAAAACAAAGACCAGATCACACACTTTTCTTATAGCTGTGTTACCATGGCACTTGTTTGTCCGGGTTCATCACAACCAGGCTCAGACCTCGCCGTACGATTTCAGTTTGCGCGACGGTGGCCCAAGAGCGAGTTCGCCCGACGCGCGAGACGTACGAGACTTGATCGTGTTTAAATGTTGGGCAGTGTTTTTGGCCTGAACTAGCCAATGTGCCACCACAAAGCAATTCTCTATTGACACTCACGCGTAGTTATTTTTTCTCGCTATTCCGCATGCGGCTCTCCGATCCGTTCACGCCGACCAACACAACCTGAAAACACATCGGACAGCTGATATTCTTTAACTGTCGCAGGGTGAGCGAGCATTCGCCATCACAAATCGTGGACAAGTAGAGACGCAATGCAAAGCTTGTCACTAAAACCGCTGCCTCGATACCCTGCCTCGAACTTCTTGACCTACTTGCTCATAAATCATCGGCTCACACTCCTCGGACTGACTCTTCTCCGTGCATTCCCGATAGCAAAATTCGCCGTCACGTTGGCCAACCCTGGCGATATCCGTGGGTTGACTGCAGGCGCTGGTCAAGGTGCCTGTTAACTGTGGGTTTGTTGAGATTATACGAGCTGTGCCGTCTGCGATTGCGGTGGGGAAGAGTGGGGGCTGTGGAGGTGGGGGGGGTGAATCGTAGAGTTTTAAGATGCCTGCGGTGGAATTGTATATTTATTTTTTTAAGTTAAACATTGTCACTGAAAAGCAATGCTTTATTGAGTCAATGCGTCAATGAGTCAATGCGTGAATGCCTCAATGAGTCAATGTATCAATGCGTCAATGAGTCAATGCATTTTCGGAACAATGACAAATTATAAATAAAAAATGTTCCCAGCCATTTTATAAACCGATAGAAATATTTCATGCATTGTACCATATTATATACATAGGTGAGTGATGGTGCAGTGGTCAGCACATTGCACCCGGAACCACGTTCAATTGTGGATCATGGTTAACATCAGCGGTGAGTGCTATCGCAACCAATGCGGGGTGCTTCCTTCACGAACCCGCACTTACCACCATGGCGAAGTATGGTCACATAACCTCCACGGCGGACATTGCATGGAGATGCCTTCATCCAGCAGTGGAGTGACACAAAGGTTGACATTCATTATATTACCATACAGGGCTCTGTGGGCAGCGGAGGTCACTACAGCAGAGTGCTGCGTCTCTACCCTCCCGCACCTCTCCTCCCCTCCTCCTTCAGCCACACCAACCAGCACAGCGAACTCTGCTTCAATAACCACCGCAACCTGCACGGCATGGGGAGAGGCCCCCTCAACCAGCGGTGGATTGACAAAGTGGCTGTACGTGTATGCACGAAACATCAGGCAGGCCATGCGCACGTGGCAGTCGCGACGATCAAATCACCCAGGGTGCGCCCGATGCCGTCGCGTCTCGGAAGCTGATCCGGGTTGAGCCTGGATGGCGCTTCGACGGGCAATCACCGCGATATTGAAGAGGTGAAGTGGCCATTGTGGGCAGTAGAGGGGCAGCGCGAATAAAAAACGAACTCCCCAACGGTATCCTGCACCACCACCACCACCCCCGTCAACAAGCTGCACTGACCAGTGACGTCTGCTCGGGTAACTCTTAACCCGCATCCTCGAGCGGTGGATTAACAATCGTGCTGTGCGTGCTCCCATTATACATATGGTACACAATGCGTCGCTGATGATGCTTACGCATCACGGTCGAGTTGGCTGGCAAGCTGGGCCCGCGTTGCTGCTTGCGAGTGGTGCCCTGTCGCGTGCTCACTTACCCAAATGAAAATCGCAATGCTATTATACTCCACACGGTTAATTACCTGAACGGAATAGAGCGACAAACCGCTGATTCATCTCCGGCAATCCTAATCGGATAGACCTGCGGTATAAAATCCACCAAATCCAGGCGCAGCCCTTGGGACAGAGCGTGTGTCTGGCAGCAGCTGACCTCGAGCGGCCGCACACACTGAAGGGGGTAGCAGTCACCCGACAATCATAACACCGCACATTTTCAAGGGGTGAAAAATATACATTTGAACAATAACAATAAAAAGGCCCCCCTCTTAAAATGGGAAATAACAGGAGCTCGGCACTCTCAAAGGAGCTGCTCGACGACCTGAAGCTCAACACTGCGTACTCGGAGCAGGAGCTCGCCGACTGGTACAGCTCCTTCCTCAAAGAGTCTCCGGACAGCCGGATCTCCAGGGAGCGCTTCGAGCAGATCTACTCCAAGTTCTTCCCAAACGCAGACGCGACCAAGTACGCCCAGCACGTCTTCCGCTCCTTCGACGCCAACGGAGACGGGACACTCGATTTCCGCGAGTACGTGGTGGCCCTGCATCTCACCGCCTCGGGCGAGATCGACCTGAAGCTTGAGTGGGCATTCTCTCTGTACGACATCGATGGAAACGGAACCATCAACAAAGCCGAGGTGCTGGAGATAGTCACGGTAAGTTCCTTCTTTTGCCTAGGGCACTTACAAAAAAAAATGAATATAACGAAGATTTTTTTTTTAATGATCAATCTAGTTCAAGGTTCCAATTATGTTTTTGTTGTTTTACAATTGAGGGTGCCTGCATTCCTGACGTGACTCGGGATGGAGTTCTGAGTTCCTGAGGCAGAGAGCACAACAACAAATGGCCCTTGCCCATCCTTATTTTTAAACGACTTCTCAGAGCCACCGACACTTCAGCACTCGCCCATCTGAAGGTGCGACTGAGGAGTACAATGCGCCAAGAGTTTCCCGTAAATATAAAAGCCACAACATCGCAAAGGATATTTGAACCAAAACAATCCTATATTCTGTTCCCAGTGAATAGTGTAACGATTAATTTGGCCACCGAGCCTCCAACCTCCTTAGCTTCCAATATTTGACACGATTTGGTACATGTTGGGTTATACAATCGTGGGGATGTTTAACGTATGTGTAACATATAGAGGCACATGTAGGCATAGTCAAACAACCCTCTGGAGTGTCAAGGCGTGACAACGAGTTGTTTATCCAGCAGTGGATTGACAAATGGCAGTACATTTTAATTATTTATTATGATATGGAACAAACAGATACGTAACAGAGTGTAGCCGTCGTATATATGTGTATTTTTTAAAATTATAACAGTGATTTTAAGACAAAACTAGAACACAGAGCAAAATACTTTTTTCTATCCATAACACAGGGTTATTTTTGGGTTAGATCGCATAAATATGCGTGTCGTTAAACCCGCCACCACCCGACACAGCCAACTAGTAAGCTTTGTCACGTAAACAGAACGTGCCAATTCGTCACTAGTACAGCACACCGGTTGTGTTGGAGAGCCAAGCCACAACATTTCCAATCCGAGTACGACGTTTCCCCAGTAATTACAACTAGCTTCATCAGGCACACAGCCATATTTGTGGAGTACTTGTGGAGTATTTTTTTATACTGCCCACAATAATAGCACGGTTGCATACGTACGGTGCAAAAGCAGTTCAACATTCATAAACATAAAGAAGTTCAACATACATGAATACTAAAATACCAATGATACCATGTGCACCAGAATTCGCACACATATATAATCAATCTTACTGTGGCTGTATTGGTCCAGCCACCTACTGTGGTAGAGTACAGTATTTCTACTTGAAAATGTGTGTGTTTTTCAGGCGATATTTAAGATGATTCCACAAGAAGAACAAGAGACCTTGCCGGAAGGCGAAAACTCTCCTGAAAAACGAACAGAGAAGCTGTGGAACTTTTTTGGCAAAAAAGAAAACGGTGAGCAACACTTAACGATGCTCAGTATCTCTGAGCGCTCAACTAAATATAACATGTCCTTTAATTGGCCATTACTATTCCCGTAAGAGTGATATTTCACCGAAAATTACTTTAGGGTAACGAACATTTTTCCCCCAATTATATTCCATACAATCACACCGCCGTAGATGACTGCACAACCACTATAAATGTTATAGAGTCACACTGTTATAGATTACGTAGTCGCATTGCTGTAGATTTTATATATGCACATCAGATTCACATCGCTGTAGATTCTATAGATTCACATCGCTCTAGATTCTGATATTTCTAAATCCATACACCTTGTCATCTAATACATATAGCTGGACATAAGCGAGTGCTGACTTATGTAAATTGTGTTCTAGAAAGGATGGAACGCTGAAACTCGACGAAATAGTCACATCTGTGCTTATCGTTAAACCCAGCTTAAAAGACGCTGCCAAGCTTGGCAGTGTTCATTGGAACGCTGTCTTCCCGACAGTTCTGTTTCTTCACCTGAAGACGGCTGCTTGTGTTGTGGCCGAAACGTCGTGATAATTTTATTATGTTTTATTTTTATTATTTCCCTTCTACGTGACTTTACCGAAAGAACCAAGAAGACGAACCAATATTTTGTTTGGTAGTGGACAGAACTTTTTTTTATTCACGATTTTTCTCTTAAAACCTACACCTACAAAAGTTTGGTAGCTGGGGATTTTAATTGGGCTGAATCTAAATACGTACCATATTGTATTAGATTTTACAAACTAAAATTGAGACTGAGGCCCTCGAATTTGGAGGGCAATATTTTATTGCTTCCTGCAATTTGTTTTTTTGAGAATCTGGGGTGAATGCCAGTACACCAGCTCTTCCAATGCCATTCTCATTTCCAGGAACTGTAGGAAGACTGACAATAAAGATACTAGAAAGTGTGCAAAGCCTGCTCCCAGTTACTAACGTCACATTTCAGGAGTTTTGGGCCCTGTATTTGTCATGAGCAGCAAGTGCGTATCAAGAGGCTGATCATCGTGAAATTGTATCCATGAAGTAGATTTTTTAAAGTAAAGTGGCATTCTGCTTTTTTAATGGTAACTATACATTTTGAGGTATGCTCGCCAGCCAGAGAGGCTAAGCATCGAATGAGAATACCGGAAACAATCATTATTACACAAAACGCGTGTCAAGACAACAAGACAGGACACACACACACGTTTTGCATGCGATGATGACATTACCATTCATGCACGCAATCTGCACACAGCCTTAAAATAGCCACCAACTCAAAATGGCTGGAGCTTTGCCTTTTATTATTATTTTAAATATATTTAGAACCATAAGGCAACTCAACAGTGCTACGTTTGACCCCACTGTGTGGAAGCAGGACTTGGATAAAACGTACCCCACACACAAATGGTGGAAGTAGGAAATAATGGTGCATGTGCTGCACTGGTGAATTCAAACAAGGATGAAACCTGTATCCAATTGTCTCGTAATTTCTGCTGCCGATATAACTTTTTGAGATTGGGAGCTGTCACAAAGCTGTGTGCAGAATATGTGCAACAAATGTGATGTCATCCTGTCAGGCAAAGTATGCCAATATCTTTGCCATGCTCAAGCTGTTTGAGAGAAGGTTTCGCACACATATTTTCAAGAAAACCGTTAAGGGCTAACATATGGCAAAACAAAAAATATTCACCAGAGCCATAAAAAAAGCCAAATCTCCCAAAAAATAAAATGTGAAATCACCAACCCTGGCAATTCAACTTGTAATAAAGCGTTTAAATAATAATGCAGTGGCACTGGTTGTTGTTACTGCTCGTGCATATTTTAGCAGGAGTGCGTTGTGTGTGTTGGTCCTGAGTTGACCCTGCACCACAGTTAATATCACGTGGTGGTGGTGGTGGGGGGCTCCTCAAGGAGATCGTCTCGAAACGCCTTTTACACACACACGCACATCTCGTTTGCAGATAAAATCACCGAGGGAGAATTTGTGGAAGGGGTTAAAAACAACATCGAGATACAGCGGCTCATCCAATATGAAAAGCGGCACAACCACAAGTAGAGTGCGCGGTGGAGGAGCGGCGAGGCGGAGGGTAACGTTACCACGGTCTTTGTTTCTCCTCTGCCCACCTCACGGACGCGACGGACAACGAGCAATGGGCGCAATGGGAATGTGGACGTCCGTCTCATGCGGTTTGACTCCGACGGTGACGCACCTTTGGCCCAATCCTTAGTCGTGTCGGCGAGCACTCTCGCTTATATTTCACGGCAAATGGGACACTTTGGTATTTGATGACAAAATATAACGGGCAGCTGCAGGGAACCCAACGTCAATGCAAATGAACCCAGCTCAGTAGCGAGTATGATGATCACACGTATTTAGATACACACAGTTTGTTTTAATAACTGCAATTGAACAACATCATTAATGTGATTAAGTAATTAAAAGCAACTTACATTTGAATTCAAACATTTACCGCTTAAGTGCAAAGGTAGAAATTAAGACTTTAAATAAGCAATAAATCACACGAAATGTTATAATTGGTCATCTGAGCAAAATAAAAAAAACCCCATAAATTTTCATATATATATTTACACACTCTTAAACATCCAATGCCACATTTCCGGGATATGTTTTTGTATATTCCAACAAATTGGAACCCCCCCCCCCCACCCACCCCCATATCATCCAGCACGATGTAGCTTAACGGAAGCCTTGTCATATGCGCTGAAGTTCATACTATGCCCTCACTGTGGTATGATCTACATCTCACACTGTGTCTTCAATGACTGCTTGGCTGTCACTCAGGTTACTGTTGGTGGTGGTGCTGCCCATGCCTTCACGACGCTTTGCTTCCTTGCTGTGCAAGAGCTCTGCCCTGGACGGGCGCTTCTTACCAACGTACAGCCCGCTCCTATCAAACAACAATTGGCCACCTTCCATTGAGAAGTTCTTCATGGAGGTGAAGGAGCTTTGGGAGCACTTCAGCTCATTTACCTTCCTTGACTTCACGTGCCAGAGATGCCACTTTTTCTTGAACTCGCTTTGGACCTGCCAAGATAGAGGTGTTCGTGTTTTGGCTTTTGGGTGTCATTAACTGTTTGCTTTTATATATTCTCCATGCATCCTAGTGTTTTACCAGAGCACACTTAATTTGGACGTGACCTAAATGGTGATGGCCTACAACCGCATGACATCAAATGCGATATGCTTAAATGTGGATTTAATAATGTCGGTGAGTTAGGGCATCATTAGGAGAGGCGACTTATCTGAGTTTAGCGAAAGACACCATAAGTAGCACACAGGGAATGTATTAGCCGTGAATTTGATGGCTCTATCTGCATAATCTCTTTATAAATTTGTCAATCATATTATTAACACATCTACGGGCAAACCAAATGCATCGAATACTCAGCAAAAAAAATCCTTATTGTGTAAGTGCTTACAATCCATACATTTTAAAATATTACTAATACATGGCAACATCAAGCTGTCATTAATACAATCAAAATGTAGGTTAACACAATTAATCTGGTATTTTTGGATATGTTTATAAGATTATATGATCTTAAGGAGAAACTCATCTCAGGTCAATGCAAACATTACAGAGGTGGGCGGGGGGGGGACGCTGACACTTCCGTGGATAAACTGCAGAATCCAATTTCTGCAGAATATTTTGTTACATCATAACAACGGTTGAGGCTGATAAAACTCACGTTTCACCCTTAATTCACGGCCTACAAATGTTTAACAACAAAAAATACCGTCTGTGTTACAAGTGATTCTACAGTTCATTGGTTGTCTAGCCATAATGACAATTGCAGTTTTATGATATATCTAAAAACAATGCTATTGTGCACTTGTAGGACTTTTTTCTCGTGTCGTTGCTGTGAAATAGTATATTGTTTTTTAACTTAATAGTACGTTTGTGCAATTGTAAGCGTACGGCAAAGTGCTTTGGCTGTGCGGTACAATAAAGCATTGACATTGTCTGATGGTTCGTGATTCTCTTTGCAGTAAGACCGAGATTCTGCACACACTGCCTCCTAAAGTTGTGTACTGTATTGAAATGATGCAGAATTAAATATTTGTCGTACAATCAAGTTGATAATCACGGTAAATGACGTTGCAGAAATTTATTTAATTTGATGTTTTTTGTATTTCAAAAAGTTACATCTGTATGCGAATTGCATACAAGGAATACTCAAAATTATCAAATTAAATTTGGTTCTGCACTTAATTTTCCTGAATTCCAGATTTGCCAATACAAATAACAGTTGTGCTGCCTTGCAATGAACCGATCACAGGCAGAGTGAAAGGGAAGGGGCCGCCCTCTGTTGTACGGACCAGAGGTAATTTGAAGGGATTTCAGATGTAGCTTTGTGATTTTTTGCTTCTGTTAGACACTTTAAAAACAAAGGTTTTCACTGCTCTGCAGAAAATATAAAATGTATACGTCATCTCTTGACATGATGCTGATAACATAATCGGGATATCGGGGAAATTTTACGACAAAATTATTGACGCTCATTCACGGAAACATAATTACGACAAAGTGCCGAAGACCAAATCACTCCACACGTGCTCAATCTCATCAGATCTCGGAAGGTAAGTAGAATTAGAGCTTGGGCTGGAGATGACTAAGACTTACCAGGTGTTGTAAGCAAGGCTGTACTATCCAATAGGCACAGGAGGCACTGTGCATAGGGCCTACGAAAACTAAAGGGCTTCCGAAAAACAATTGACCCTTGTTTTTGTGTTTGTATGTATGTGTAGTGGTATATCGCTGACTGCTGGCGGAAAAGGGTAACTGCGGTGTACGGCAGTACCCGCGACAGCAGGCCACGATATATACGAGAGGGGGACACCTAGGGGAAAGGTCACAGAAGGGGCCCATCGCGAAGCCTCGGGAACCCGTCAGTAGGTTCCAGAAGGGGGCGTGGCCGGGGCAGAGCGAGGGCACGCTGGGAGTATAAAAGGGAGCCCTGAGCGGGTGCTCAGGGCTGTCGCTGGACGTGGGATCCCCGTCGTGCCGCTCAAGATCATCGTCGTCACCATCTCCTCCTCGTCGTTTCCGTCTTCACCATCCCGCTGCTAGTCAGACAGTCTACCAACTGTTCTAAGTAGTGCCGCCCACAATAGATGGTCTTAATACTAATAGTGTGCACCCACGTAGGGTGTTGCGTGTTATCCCGATGGTGCTTGTTAAATAAAAATAAGTGCCTCCAAGTATTACTGCATCCAATCTGCGTCACTACACATGTATGTATGATAAAAATGTAACCAAGATGTCTTCTTGAATAAATGTATTAATATAGCAAGGATTGGCAGTGTATACACAAAGAGTCATGTCAACGTCAATCTTTTTTGTTTTCATCAGGTGAGAGAAATTAACGCCGGAGATTAACTTTTCCAGATTTCCTTTCATTAAAAAAATTTGCAAGAACATCTTCAAATGGTCTTTTTCGCACCATCTTACTCTCAATAGAGAGCAGTGCAAGGGAAGACAAGGCGGCGTTGTTGTCCGATGTTTGATCGGAGACAGTTTTGTGTTTGTTATCAGCTTCAGTGAGTGACAGTGGCGGTAGAAGTCGTGACGTGACATATAATTGGTCACTACGTAGCATAGTGCTGGCTGCTGGCAGGGAAGGGGATCTGCAGCTTGACGCAGCCCTCATTGACAGCAGGCCACGTGACAGACCCGAGAGGGATCTTGGGTAAAGGTTACGGAGGGGACAAGTCAAGATCCCGCTCGTAGGTTCCAGAAGGGGGGCGTGGCCGCGGCGGAGTGAGGCCACGCTAACAGGATAAAGGTGGACCCCGAGCGGGGGATCGGGGCCGTCGTTTGGAGTGGGATCCCCTCGTCGTTGTTGCTGCTGTCGCCTTCGTCGCTGTCGTCGGTCCACTTGATAATCGCGCTGCTGGCAGTGGTTGGCTGTCTTAGTTCAGCGCCGTCAGTGTCAGACGGCTAGCGCTGTGTTGGAGGCTAGCAATTAGTGTAGAGTTGCGTTTAAGTGAGAGACGGACTGTTTGTGTAACAGGAGAGAATGTGTAACAGTGTGCTCGGTGTTTAATTAAAGAATTGCCTCCAAGAAGTTACGTCTCCAAGTCAGTTCCTACAGTAGCGACGCGGGGCAGCAGCAGTACCAACTGTAGACGAGTAATCACTGAAGGCTCAACGAAACTGAAGTGCCTTGGGCCTACAAGAAACCTTAATCCGGGCCTGTTGGTTAAGCATCGGCTACGAGGTGGAAACGAGATGGCAATGGTGTCACCCCCTTGTAGAGTCTAACACGTAGGAGGCTTTCGCGACCAATATCATCCATAATAGAGGTTTTTTGGGTTAGATAATGTTTGGTGGATGTTTCTCTGGGTTTGCCAGTTTCCCCATCCCATGAAGCCAAACTCTCATTGAAGGAATTGGCCAAACCATTCCAATTGGAGGACCGCACTGGAAAAGTCTCGAGGCTCATCAAGCCCTTTGGGTAAATAACTGACATCATTACTCTGAGAGCAAGCATTCAATTACGTTAATTTTCTATCGCTTTTTAAAGTTGGAGAACATACACATGGTAATGACACCATTTAAACTCGGGAAAAGCACGTGGGCAGGAAAGAATGTGCCTCTTGATGGAATGATGGCCGATTGTCAACAATAATAATAATAAAAGAGGAAGTTTACTGTGGATACGAAACAATGAAGTCATCTCGAGTGCAGGCGCTGGGTTGGGTGTATTATGACATCCCAGGATCGTGAGAGGCGGTAGCGGCTTGGGAAGGCCTTCATCTAGCAGCGGATTGCCCCTGAGCGTTGCTGCTGATGATGATGACTTGTAAATTAGTGTAACGACGTTTTTGGGAAACAATGCGTGACTTGTTAAGGTCTGTAGTTAACAACCCTGTATCTGGAATGGACTCAAAACGCTATTTTATTTTAGAGTGTTGTGGTTTTTTTATGAGGCAATGTGTAAGTCGATGTGTTTGTGTGTGTGGGTCGATGCGTGTGTGTGTGTCTTTTTCACCCGGGCAATGCCGGGTACTTCCCGCTGGTGAGGCAATATAACACTGAACCACAAGTGGCTTTTGTAACCACATTTGTTTAAAAATAGGTGTACCGAGAACTCTCGACTATTTTATATAACTTTGTTACATTGAACAATACTGTATTTTATCACTTACCTCACCATTAGAGAAGCAATACAGGAGCGCTACAAAAAAACCCTAAAAAAGACAAACACGTTCACAATATTATTAACTGGTTTTTTTTACATCTTGTTCACAATGTGAAGTAGTTGGCCAGGTATTTACGTTAGAGGCAAATTTATTTTTCCTGCACTTGATTTTAGGGATAGAAATGTCACAGTCCCAAAGAGGTGTCCTTATTTTAGCATGAAATCAGTATTTCACCAAGATGAAAATCAGTCGCATGTATCCTTGCAGAGTAAACATTACACACTCTAACATTTATTCTTACTACGATCTATTAAATATCTGTCTTGCACACCTCATCAAGCTATAATCTTCTGCCCCATCTGCAATTAAACAGAGCAGTTTCAGGTCCCGCATACCAAGCCACTTCCGCACGACAAAATCAATGTTTTGGGTTATATTATAACCCGAGTTGGGCAACCTGATGATAGGATTACAAAATAACAGAAAATACATTCCAGCCATTCTCAATCCACCAATGGATGAAGGCCTCTTGCACACCATCATCGTCACGGTGTTTTTGTTGTTGTTGCGCACTTCACCACGCTGGTCAATGCAGGTGGGTCACGACGAGTGGAAGGGCAGAACCAATTCTGGCTTCACTCGCCACCGCCGGTAGCCGCGATCGGGAATCAAACTCGCCAGTTTCCCGGTGGAACGGCGCAGCACGCTAACCGCTGTACCGCCACTCCGCCCCTGAGAGACGCGTGAATGACGCTCGCGCGGTTCTTCGCGAGCGTTACATATTTTTTTCTCCGGAAATAATATGGTGTCTATGTCCAGATCAGCGTCGTTAGCACCTTCACAACACCACACCTGAATGGAGCTGAAGGAGAGCTGAATGAACAGGCGGACGTAGCGCGTTCTCCCCGTGGCATGCTCGTCCGTGAGGAAGATGAACACGACCTCGTGGATGCCCAGAAGCGGAATCAGGGTGAGCGTCGACCGGGCAAGTCTGCAACACGCGACGGTTTGAACTATAAAAAGGCGCAGCACTGGCAATTGCTTTCTCTCCGCCACCGCTGCTGGAAGGGTCTCCACTAAAAGGAGCTCTACAGAGCCCCCCCCCCCCCCCCCCCACTAGAGGGTGTTTTGGCCTACTCTTCCACGCTTCCGAGACATCTTGGAAGAGGTGGGAGTACTCACACTTGACCCCCCCTCCCCCCCCGTACGTGACCTTACGATGGACGAGCTGCGGTGAACCCTTTTATACCGCTGGGTGGACAGAAGTTTGGGGGGAGGGGGGGGGAAGGATTTGAGAAACTTGGCCCCCCCCCCACATTATTTCAGCAGCTGCCATGCCGGGAGCTCGAAGCGGCATGGCACCTCTGGGCTGCAAGTCGACCGTTGCAGCGACACCTCATGTTCTTCTTCTTCTTGGTTCTTTCGGTAAAGTCACGTGGAAGGGAAACAATAAAATAATAAAAATATCAAACAATAAAATTCTGAGAAATTCTGAGAATTTTTTTATTTTTTATTTTTATTGTTGTATTGTTTCCGTGCTACGTGACTCTACCGAAAGATCCAAAAAAAAAACAAATTATCAGAATTTTATTGTTTTATATTTGTATTATTTTATTGTTTCCCTTCTACGTGGTGACTTTACCGAAACAACCAAGAATATGAATCCCTGCAGTCACGAAAGCTTTAAATCAAAATTTACATCATGTTCTTCTTCAAACCCAATTTGGTCTCGGCCGAGCGGGTCTGTTTTGGATCATGACCCCACATGAAGGCTGGATAGCCAAGACAGGCATCTCCTAACGTGTTGGAAACAGCGACGATGCCTGCATTGTAGTAGGGGTGCAACTCCTCGTATTCACGATTCCCATTATCCACGGCACCCAGTCAATGCACAAATGAATACTATTTTACGTGGATGTAATAAATCCTGGAAATAAGGCACCATGCTGCATTGTAATCAAGTGATACCATGAGCAGAGAGAACATTTAAAACAGCTCCAATTACACATTTAGCTTATCATAACATTGAAATTAATTTCAAGTAGTTGGGTAAACAAATGTGTACACTTGTGCTATGCTATATAGCACACATTGTATATTCACACATACACAGAAGTCGGAGATTCACACATCTACAGAAGTATATCCACACATCTACAGAAGTATATCCACACATCTACAGAAGTCTATTCACACATCTACAGAAGTATATTCACACATCTACAGAAGCATATCCACACATCTACAGAAGTATATTCACACATCTACAGAAGCATATCCACACATCTACAGAAGCATATCCACACATCTACAGAAGTATATCCACACATCTACAGAAGGATATCCACACATCTACAGAAGCATATCCACACATCTACAGAAGTATATCCACACATCTACAGAAGTATATCCACACATCTACAGAAGTATATCCACACATCTACAGAAGTATATTCACACATCTACAGAAGCATATCCACACATCTACAGAAGCATATCCACACATCTACAGAAGTATATCCACACATCTACAGAAGTATATCCACACATCTACAGAAGTATATTCACACATCTACAGAAGTATATCCACACATCTACAGAAGTATATTCACACATCTACAGAAGTATATCCACACATCTACAGAAGTATATCCACACATCTACAGAAGTATATCAACACATCTACAGAAGTATATTCACACATCTACAGGAGTATATTCACACATCTACAGGAGTATATTCACACATCTACAGAAGTATATCCGCACATCTACAGAAGTCGTAGATTCACACATACACAGAAGTATATCCACACATCTACAGGAGTATATTCACACATCTACAGAAGTATATCCACACATCTACAGAAGTATATCCGCACATCTACAGAAGTCGTAGATTCACACATACACAGAAGTATATCCACACATCTACAGAAGTATATCCACACATCTACAGAAGTATATCCACACATCTACAGGAGTATATTCACACATCTACAGAAGTATATCCACACATCTACAGGAGTATATTCACACATCTACAGAAGTATATTCACACATCTACAGAAGTATATTCACACATCTACAGGAGTATATTCACACATACACAGAAGTATATCCACACATCTACAGAAGTATATCCACACATCTACAGGAGTTTATTCACACATCTACAGAAGTATATCCACACATCTACAGAAGTCGTAGATTCACACATACACAGCAGTCGCACCATTCACCTGCTCTTGTAATTTGAAAACTTTGATTGCTGTGCCTTCAACTTGGAGAGTAAGATTTTGATGATCTTTACAAAGAGGATACAATTCACCTGCAAAGACAGTAATGTATGTTTGATGTTTCTTTTTTGTTACAATTGGATACACACTGGCACATCTCTGTCCCCCGTTTAAACGTTTGTCATTTCAAATATGACGACAACAACAACAAAAGTAACTGCGGTACAATGTCGCATATCGGACTCGTCGGGGACTCAGGTACAGGCGGATATGTGAAAATGGTTGGATATGTGAACGTTGACACGTGTCAACAAAAAAAGCGCAAACTACGTGAACAATGGGAACATGCTTCGCTCTAGAGTACTTTAGCAGTGAGCGAATGAAAAGATCTGATTCGTGAATGTGTCCAGCAAATGACAGTGTTTGGTGAGAGTGGGTATGTCACAGTCGGGAACATGCGACCTACTTGCACACGTTTCATTTCAAGGTAGAACGCACGTTGTATAATTTGGTGAATGAATGCAAACAACACGTGGTAGTTACCACAATGGAGAACAGGATCGGTCCTCGTATTAGCCACCAAATGCCCATCCACGTGTTAATTCCCCAACACCTTTGAGATGAAAATGAGAAAAGCGTTGTGATGTGCGAATGCCGATTCAAAAGCAACAATCAGCCTTTGATACGGCAATTGTTTGTATAAACACAATTACCATGCACCACATGTTTGATGCATGACGACCGTTATTCATTTCACGGATATTAATTGCCGCAAATAAAACAAGACATCATTAACATTCTCTTTGGTTCTGTCGGTTTCGATCGCAACACAAGCGACCGTCTTCAGGTGAGAGATAGAAAGCTACTGATAATTCAAAGCACAAATCTCTCCACGCTTACATTTATCACTGTCAATAGCCATCATCGCCGTCATCACCTTAAATCATAATCAGTAATCATATGTGTTTCCATAACATGACAATTGCTTGAAGTAAAAATATTAGTTCTTATCCTGGATATAAGGTGATGACATTGTATGTACGTATGTATGTTGAACTTCTTTCGCACCGTACGTGGGCCAACCGTGTTAATCCCGATGGACATCCACTCCTTTGGCTGCCACTCCATTTTTAGTCTCGACCACGAGGCATTCAAGTATCCTACCCAATCCAACTTGTTTTGTTTGCGGTAAATGGGATATGTGTATGGGGCAGGCTAAGAAATGAAGACGTGAGTGGAAGACTCAAGGTGGTAGAAATCACAAAGCGAGTGAGAGAGAGAGAAGGCTCTGGGTGTGGTTCGGTCATGCGGAGAGACAGCAGGAAAATGATGTGCGTCATAAGGTAGCTGGTGATGCAAGTGGAATGGAAAGAGTTGAAGAGGAAGGCAGAAGATGAGGTGGTGGGGGGGGATTGGACCACGGTGGCCCGAGGAGCGGAAAGAAAGTTGGAAAAGGACAGGGCAGCGTGGAGAAGTTTGGCAAGGACAACGGAACACTCCGCATGAGTGGGATAAACGCGTGGAAGGAGGAGGAGAAGGATGCGTGTATCGCTTGCATATGCCGTTTAATCCACGTGTTATTTTTTTCCTGTCTCTCAATATAATTCCAAGCACAAATCTCTCCACGCTAATTTGCACACTTGTCTGCATTTGTTCCATTTTCTTTGTCCGTGTGCACGTGTTGGATCCATGCTTCACAACAGGTACTATGCACCAGTTAAACGTTTGCTGGGGTTGAAACGTCAAGGCCTTTCCAGGGAGGCCAACACACCATTAATCCAAATTTTCACTATTATGGCAAAACACAACCATTATATCGAACTGGAAAGAGCCGTGCTCTCCCGCAGACATTGCAGGAGTGGGCCAATAACTTGTCAAAATTGCCCCTCTAGAGCATCTAAGTGTCAAACTAAGGGGCAGGAAGGAAGCTTCCCACCAAGCACGGAATCCCTCAACTCACTCTCCTCCAGCGGGCATTGATTCTTAATTGCATTCACGAGGGCATTTTGCCATTTTCACTTCCCTTTTTTCCCTTTCTCCTACAGGGCTATCAGAGCTTAGGCAGACACCAGGGGTTTGTAGAGATTATTGAAACAGTTTATTGAAACATGCGGTTTAAGAAATGTTTCCACTGCACTGTAAATCCGTAATGTGTTTGTGTGCTGGTGTCAACACCTCTTCATATCCTCTGTGTTGTGTACCTGATATCGTTTTGTTCATAATAAAATACTTTTGGAGAGAAAAAAAACGTTCGAATTCAGGCATCGTTGCTGCGTTGCCTTTCATTATTAAGTTCACTCATCCGCCTTGTCAATTCATTCGAATTATCCCGGTCAACCGTTAGAGAACTCTCCTAGGTAAACATGTTCGTTTTTCCCGGTCCGTGTCCCACCAACAAACGCTTAGTAAATTTGCCGTGACTTGCTACACATATGTATCGTGAGCGGCACTCTGCAGCCTTCTTTGAAAAGTTCATCCCCCCTCCCTCTCCCTATTGAAATGTACAATGATTGTCATCAGCAAATCTGAGGTTAACATTTTTTTGCCATCTATATTTAGGAGCTCTTCAAGTCAATTTGTATAACCCTTTTTTAAATCGAAAAATTATTGAGGCTTTCTTCAATGATGTCTTTCATTTATACATAAGTATGTAGTAAATGGTTCCCGTAATTGGTTCCAACAACTGGTTCTTTCATGGTGATGATGGTGATGACTCCACCATCTGGTTCAGGAGTTTTCCTTTGTTTCACGTGTAACATTTGGAGCTTACACTTCATCTGAGGAGTCGATGTATTACTGCAATGAATGTTTTTTCTCTTCATCTACAGAGATCTGCATAACATTCTTCCACTAATTTTAATATTCTCCCTCTCTATAATGTGTGACGGTGCATTCATTCTCCCTAAGGGCGACCATTTGTGAATTGCCAATCATCAACATTATTTTTACAGCTTTCATTGCTCTCTGTCATCTTGAAACATCTTCGTATTAGTCGCTTAACATTTTTCACTCTTTTCCTAATCGTTTTGCAGAGGTCCATATATGCAAAATTCTGTTCATCATCTCGGTCTCCTTGAGGCTCTCCACTACCTCAACATTCCCTTTTGTAGTTTCAGATAATTTATGCTCTTGTTTGCTTTTCAACATTCTGCCACTTACATCAATGCACTATCCATTACTAATTGTGGTACGGCTCATTCGTACTTCCCGTAGTTATGTGCATGTTCGCACCGACAGACTTTGAAAAGGCTTGTGTTTGTGTATAAAAAAAGAGAGCATGCACAAATCTTACCCTTGGTTTTCATAAATCAGTTTTGAAACCATCCAAGGTATGATAAACATAATAGGTGTACCTGAAAATGAAAACAAAACAACGTTCAACTGTAGAGCAGTGCATGTATACAAAAAAGTCCAATGTAACGTGAACTGTACTCTTTGGTTTTATCGGTAAAGTCACGTAGGTATAAAATAAAATAAATTACGACGTTTCGGGCGCAACACAAGCGTCCGTCATCAGGTATGGAAAGCATAAAGTGAACGTGTCTCGGATGTAATTCCTAAAGCAAGTGCCAGATCTTAAAAAACAGCTGAGCAGGGTCGAGCCTGAGTAGAACTTGAAAGGGCATCCACCATGGGGCAACCACTATGTACACGAGGTGTCACAGGCTGGTGGGTTACATGGTGGGCACAGCAACAAGCTACCGCGTCTGTGTTCCCCAGATTCATGAAACCTGCTGCAGCGTTGTCAGATAACTACAAACCGTGAGCCCTTCGCGCGGTAAGGCCCTCATCCAGCTCGTGGAATTTACTAATGACCAGATGTATGTGTGCATTACGCATTTTAAAACCGTCCAAGTCGGCTTGGCACCAGTGTGATTTTTGTTTACCTCTGTTATAGGCATTCACTCACCCCATCCCAGCAGAACGTAAAATGCAATCAGTTTCTTTTTGGTGAACACGCACATGGTCAGCAGAGTGTGTAAGTAGCTGCCTTCCACCAAAAGCCAAAAGTAGTTGGCGCCAATGCAATATTGCATGAAAACATGAGTGGCTCTGCATCCTGTGTACCCCTGTGGCAAAAAAACCCCCAACAACATCAAACATGCAACAATCCATTGGCAACAGAAGACTCTGCCAGTGAAAAGTTATAAGTGAAAAAAAAGGCACGGCTCACTAGTTATGGACATTTATTTGCTCCACATTCATGGGTTTCTTCTCAAAAGGCATAGCAATTCTTTGTTAGTAATCCACCAATGATTGTGTGTCGAAATATACAGAATTCATACTCCCCATTTAGCTATGAATTAACATCAGCATTTGTTGACATTTACCCATACTTTTTTTATGCCAGCTGTGCAAATGTCACGCGAGACACAAACACCCCACACGATAAATGTGCCCCTCCACACAAAAAAAAACAAGCCTTATCGTGTACGTCATGAACACGTGTATCTAGTTTGTGTCCGGTACCACTCACTTCGTATCCAAAATAGCCCAGCCAATCGGAGGCGTTCTGGGGCCGTTTGGTGTAATTGTGTGTGAGCGCAGCGTCCTTGAGCAGAACGGAAATGGCTCTGAGGATGAATGAAGCGAACAAGTTCATATGGATGTAGTTTCTTGTGCAGTGTAGCCGCCTGGAAAACAGCGTTTGAAAACAGGTTCACATCTGGGACAAATGTTATCGCACTTGCCACGAGCGTGAATGCACAATTGCGTGTTTAATCCTGAACATTGTTGATTACCATATACGTCGAATAAGCCAATGGGAAATTGCTGGGTGGACAGAGGCGGGGAGGGGGGGTTAAGACTCTTGCTGCAGAGTATCAACTTGTACGTATGTATGCTGAACTTCTTTCGCACCGTACGTGGATGGAATTGAACCTGGCGACATCCGGCTTGCAGCTCTAGTGCACTTACCCCCTGTAAGACGGCGGCATCCCGATACTCAATACCTCAGTACCGCTTTAACATTACAACTGAATGCACGTGTGTAACTTTATTTACTTACACATAACATGGTAATTTAATGGGTCAGAGCTGCAAGTTATTCAACACGGGGTATGCAACGTAACAATGTATTTTTTTTCCTATTGCTAGAAATCTTTATTCGTGGAAAATGTAGTGTCATAGCAGGGCACACACATATTCATACGTACACATATATGTTGTTATTATTCTTATTATTACCTGAACATGATCAAAATTCCCATAGCCACCACGAGGGAGGCGAGGGAGACAGAGTATCCGGTGGTATAAACTAGACGTAAGGCATGGAGAAGATACATCTCTTTTCCCTAGAAGGAAACAGCAGACGTGGATAATTGACATTTAAAATAGGCAATGCCTTTGAGACACAACGGAGGGCATTGTGAAGGAAATGCAATTCTGTACATGTGCGTATGCATGACCTCAGTGGAGATATTGTTCTCATCGTCCAAACATTCGCTGTGGTCTCTCCATGCCGCGGTTACGTTGTCTTGAGTTAACCAGGTACCGTCGCGTGTGCAATATCTGTAAACGTATCCTCCTTCCACTAAAACAGAACACAATTACAATTATATATTTTTATTACGATTAGTACGTTCTCATTGAGTCTTAATGAAATTGTTTCAGAAGGGTCCTGCCAAGTTTTCTGTGGCAAGACTCCAGAGAATCCGGAGGAAACCCACGTTAGAACAGAGGGAGGACATACATACAAAACTAACAGTAGCATTTCACAAAAACAAACTAATTATTTGTTGTCATGGGGAACTATGGGTTATGTATTCATTAAATACACCTTGCTTTATGACTGATTGTAGGTTAGGCCATGTAATGATCTGGCCAAATTTCTGTCCTAAGACCCTCCACCACCCAACCTAGCCAAACAAATAAAATTGTCACTTTTGTTTGTTCAGGCAAATAGTTACGTGGCATAACCTAAATATTTATTATGAATCACAATAATGGCTGTGGAAACCTATGTTTTTCGTCAAATAGATATTTTTTCGCTTCTCCACACAAACATGAAATATGTATTAATGTTCATTAGCTTATTCGCTTTCTAGAACAATCTTATTTGCGGTATTTTTTTCTAAACACGCAAACTAAACTGTGGATCAGTTTTGACCTTCAGTGGGGTCTCGTCAACATTCGGGCTTCTTAGGACAAATTCTGCTGAGCTGCCAGATGCTACTTGCAAGAGCACTGTTCGCGAGACGGGGCCTACTCAACGAAAAAAAGCAATAATAATTACTCGTATGGTATGCATTGTTGTGAAACATATTTTGCACGATAAAATTTGTTTGGAAAGTTTGTAGCCCAATGGACAAACAAAAACATTGAATTGTTATGTGCAGACGAGAACTGTTCTTTATTTCATTAATGAAAAAGCACAGACATCTAATGTTTTACGAGTGAACATTTATGCAGCCTATTGCCAATAAGGGTGGCAATTATAAAACTTCGCTTGGGTGAGACATGTGTTTCTGGTGAATGCGAAATGTATGTATGTTTATTTAAAACCATATAAACAAATTTAAAACACGCACTCTAGCTCAAGGACATTTTTATTTGTACGATAAAGCGCATTTACCTCTGCAGCCCTCCGATGCGAATTTTTGGATGTACTGCGTGTGTTGTTCGGCAGGATGCGCGATGTTTTGCTACAAGTGCTGGACAATTATTCAGGAACCCGGCACACGGAGCGAAACATCGGACACCAAGCCGAACAACACGTGGTACAAGCCGACAACACAGCGGAGAGCTACACAGCACGTTTGCGAAGACCCACACGGTGCCATGCATTCACCTTTGTCTATCCAAGGCAGGTAGGATGGGCACGGTATCGCCACTTTTGTATCTGGCAAGCTGTCTGGCCAGCAAGCATAATGGTCAAATGTCCTGTTGCAATAAACGCCTGGAAAATATGAATCACAGTTATCGTAAGAAACGTGCTCAAGCAATAATCATTGAATTTCAAATTATTCATTAACTGATATCGATGCGGATGCGGTGGTTGTGCTCGTCATTAGGTTTCTCCCGATCCTCTTTGTATCCTCAACCGAGAAGTTGTCCGTGAACGTATCGTCTTGTTCAATAATTTCGAACGATACAGCACTCTGAACTTGGTCGATAAAACTACGCAAACACACACTCAGCTATATGAAGATTTGATGAGTTTTTATCTCTCTTCAGCTTCCACATCACTGCCGTGGCAGTTGGTGCAATGGTGCCAAGCAACTGTGTCTGGGTTTAACAAAGAATTTGGCAGTGCTGCTGCTGCTGTGTTGGCAATGGCGCACAAATAGCAACGACAACTCAACACATTTGTCAAAAGCATTGTGGCCTTAAAATAGGAAAAATACGCAAACAACCTAGAATGTTCTGGGAATGGACAAAAGTTTGCCTGAAGCGTTGCCTATTATATATCTATAATTGCAATGCCACACATGTTTTGTATGTATGTATTTTGAATTTCTTCCGCACCGTACGTAAACAACCGTGCTAATGCCACGCACAGTGCGGTCAACGTCTCATTACTCTGCAGGGATCGTTGCATGTCGACGTCGTTTGCTCACTCACCTGAGAGGAACGGTTCGCTGTCATGCAACTGCTTACATTCCGTCGCATAGCTCGACCACCGATGCAAGGTGTCTTGCAGCAGAGAGGCAGACGCCTGCGAATAGGAAACACTCGGAGTTGTTTGAACTCTTGCCGTAAACCCACCACCGATCGAGCTCCCCGATGACGCGATTTCGGCTTGTGCCGCGCGTTGTTGTTTGTCGTTGCTTTCAGGCACCATGTGCGACGATTCGCTCCACGTGCTGGGACCTTTGTTCAGCAAATGAAGAATTTAGTGAAGTCATCCGCCGAAGAACAGATTAATTCAGTTTCTGAAGAGGCTCCCAGCACGTGGATTGAAACGTTGGACAGAGTGCCGGGCAACGCGCAAATCACAGTCACGAGAACCTGCACAGTGGTGTCACCACTGGTGGATTAAACACATCCTGTAAAATGGGAGCGCGTTTTCCTACAACTGATAGCCAATGATTATTATCGAGAATCCAAAGATTGAATCTCCTTGCGATGCAACATCTGCACCAAATGTTACGGGCTGTCTAGGAAGAATACCACAGAGGTATGAGCCAATAGGTTTATTTCATGTCTAATTTTAGAAAACCTTCAACCAACTCTTTTCAATCATTGTATATGTTCATTGTTTGCATATATGTTTAGTAGGAAAGATGTAAAAATTTTTATTAGCAGGGGGTATATGAATACATTTTACACGTAGATAAATTCAGCTTAGAGATGCATTGCACTTATATTTTGTAAAAAAAAGTAGAATGTTGAAAATCAATGTTTCCAGTTAGGATGGAGTGTGCGTGACTAATGCCAAACATTGATGGATTCATCTACACATCCCGTTCTTTCGTCAAATCACACCATTGGCACATTTGGTATTTGCAGCCTTCACATGCTGACACGCGTTTATAGTGTGCAAAGTGTCGTGGTAGGAGGGCTGTGTTGCCACAACCACGCGGACCCAATTAGGTAATACGAGAGGCAAATTTGGACGATGGCGCTGGCACGCACGGCCTGCTCGCTTTCGAATAATGCCACGGGATTGGAGGGTTCACCGCGACTCTGTTCTTCAACACGCTCGCAGTATTAAACCGGGGCGGTCGCCGGCCTTGAGCCGCGCGCCTCCGCAACAAGCGGCAAGCGGTGGACTTACACTTTGGGGCGTACAAAGAGGATGAAGAAAAAGTCCTCGCGCATTGCCGCTTTGGGCAGCCGTACAACACAGTTTCAGTGAAAAGAACACCCCCGGGTTAAAGAGCCCCGATGTTATTTCTCCAAATACAGTGAGGGGAAAAAAGTATTTGATCCCCTGCTGATTTTGTACGTTTTCCCACTGACAAAGAAATGATCAGTCTATCATTTTAATGGTAGGGTTATTTGAACAGTGAGAGACAGAATAACAACAACAAAAATCCAGAAAAACGCATGTCAAAAATGTTATATATTGATTTGCATTTTAATGAGGGAAATAAGTATTTCACCCCTCCCTTGAAGAGTGTGCTCCTAATCTCAGCTTGTTACCTGTATAAAAGACACCTGGGAGCCAGAAATCTTTCTGATTGAGAGGGGGTCAAATGCTTATTTCCCTCATTAAAATGCAAATCAATTTATCACACTTTCTGACATGCGTTTATATGGATTTTTTGTTATTATTCCGTCTCTCACCGTTCAAATAAACCTACCATTAAAATTATAGCCTGATCATTTCTTTGTCAGTGGGCAAACGTACCAAAATCAGCAGGGGATCAAATACTTTTTTTTTCCCTCACTGTAGCAGCGTGTGTTATGCTTCAAGAAACTTGGCACGGAACACAGCTTAAATAAAACTTGTCCCTTGCAAAATGTGCGAGTATCCACGTCGCCGTAATAATGGTCATTTTCTCCATTACATCCCAATCTGATATTATTCGCAATTAAAATGCAAAAACGTACAGGATTACACGTGGTATGCCACTGCGGTCTGAGCTCCTTCGACAGAGGAGGAACAGCAAAACTGGACGAACACTCCATAATGGAGTTTTTTTTTTTATTAAAGTGAGATCGCGTAAATAAAAATGTGTCGTTAAACCCGCCACCACCCGACCACAGCCAAATCAGCAAGGTTTGTCACGTGAACAAAACATGCCAATTCGCTACTAGTACAGCACACCGATGTATTGGGAGAGCAAACCCCGTTTCACGGGCAATTACAACCGGCCATATCATGCGACAGAGAGGGTTGTGGAGTATTCCTCCCTCATTCTATCTCTCTCTCTCATGACGCCCAATCGTCGTGGCTAGCAGACCTCGGCATTGGCATTGAGCTCCTGAACCCATCGCTACCGCCACCACCATAACCGTCGTACGGCAACGAGAGAAGTGACGCACAGCAGCGCACCGTGACGGAAGCACAGCCTCTCACCTCCAAGGAATAGCAGCACATCACGCAAGCGACGGTCACCACCGCGGCCACGACCATTATCTTTCTGTGAACATACATTGCAAACGCGAATGTCTTTTCTCAACGGGCAAGTAAAGAAGCACCAGTTTATATGATTGGTTCCGTCGGTAAAGTCACGTCGAAGGGAAACAACGTGACTTTACCGAAAGAACCAAGGATATGAATCCCTGCAGTCACGAAAGCTTTCAATCAAAATTTAAGCAGCAGTTTTGTTGAATCAAAGCACAAACAAAGGTGCGGGAAAACGTCTTCGTGTAGTGGTGCACAAATAACAGACTCAATCGATGAACAATCTCTAGCAGGAGCAATACAAACTTAGTAATACATCTTATATTACTAACATACAAGCAATACAAAATAAGTGACGTTTTGAGCAATTACACCTTCTTCATTGTAAAGAAATGTTGCGTATTGCATATTCTCTCCTTCTAGGGCAGCGTTATTGAGGAATGTGTCAACACAATCTGGAGTAAGTGACGTTGGGACAAGTCGAGTGGGTAGACTGGGAAGTCCAAACAGAAAGTGTGATCGCTCTACAATAGTTCATCAGCCATAAACGTTCCCTCTCTATCCCTGCCTGATATACAGCGACAATGTATGCATGTTGTATGAATGTTGAACTTCTTTCGCACCGCATGTAGCCAACAGTGCTAAATCGGAGGTGCGGGGGAAGGATAACAAAAAATACAGTTCTAAAGAAACGAGTTTTCAGTCGAGATTTAAAAGTCCATAGCTCCAAGTGGTTCACATAATATGGAAAGGAAGAGCGTTCCAGACGGCTGCCGCATTAGGGGCGCCGCCTGAAAGCGCGCGACGACTCGGACACACACCGAGAGAGACTGACAGGGAGACAGACAGAGAGGGACACACACCCAGAGAGACAGACAGAGAGGGGGACACACCGAGAGAGACAGACAGGGAGACAGACGGACAGAGAGACAGACAGAGAGGGACACACACCGAGAGAGACAGACAGGGAGACGGACAGACAGGGACACACACCGAGAGAGACAGACGGACAGGGAGACAGACGGACAGGGAGACAGACGGACAGGGAGACAGACGGACAGAGAGACAGACGGACAGGGAGACAGACGCCAGTTGTCGCCGCTCCGTTTACCAGCAGCAGCAGCAGCTACTCTCGCGAGGAGCTTGACGACCGACTGAGCGCAGCGAGCAAGGTGACCGCGGTTTTTAGTTTGTTTATTTGGATGAGACGAGAAGTGCACGGGGGGCGAGAGGGGGTTTGGTGGTGACTTGCGGCAGGGAGAGAGTTTCTTGTGGAAGGTTTACAACCGGACGGATGCGAGTGGACAGATGGGACAGACAGGTGACTCGCGGGACAACGTGGATGTCAATTCGGTTCGGTGACGGCTTCCCCTCTTGCATTGTCGCCGAAATTGCGACACGACGCCTCGCGTCTGCAACTCAAACGGTACCTACCCGACCAACACGTGGGGGCTTGCGAACCGCATTACTTTTTGATAACCTACACCCCTATGGAGGCATTTTCATACTCAGTGTGAATTAGCACGGTTGGCTACGTACGATGCGAAAGTAGTTTAAAATACGTACAATGCTTAGCGTAAATAATGGGACGTCACTTTACGTAACTGAATCGCAATTTAGAACCTTTCCTCCGTCAGTACACTGCTGGACGAGGGCCCACCCCTTACCGATCGATGGGTCGCTTGACCATACTTCACCACGCCGGTCAGTGCGGGTTGGTGAAGTGGCAAGGGGGTGAGATGGGGGGCTGGAGTGAGTGGGGGGGGGTAACGAAGAACAAGCTCGGGATATCACTCACCACTGATGTGAGCCGTGGCCGGGTGGGTGGTGGTGGTGGTGGGTGGTGGTAGGTGGTGGTGGGTGGTGGTGGTAGGTGGTGGTAGGTGCTGGGTGGTGGTGGGTGGTAGGTGGTGGTGGGTGGTGGTGGTGGGTGGTGGTGGTAGGTGGTGGGTGGTGGTGGGTGGTGGTAGGTGGTGGGTGGTGGTAGGTGGTGGTGGTAGGTGGTGGGCGGTGGGTGGGTGGTGGTGGTAGGTGGTGGTGGTAGGTGGTGGGTGGTGGTGGTGGGTGGTGGTGGGTGGTGGTGGTGGTAGGTGGTGGTGGGTGGTGGTGGGTGGTGGTGGTGGTGGGTGGTGGTGGTGGTAGTAGGTGGTGGGTGGTGGTGGGTGGTGGTAGGTGGTGGGTGGTGGTGGTGGTAGGTGGTGGGTGGTGGTGGGTGGTGGTAGGTGGTGGGTGGTGGGTGGTGGTGGTGGTAGGTGGTGGGTGGTGGGTGGTGGTGGGTGGTGGTGGGTGGTGGTGGGTGGTGGTGGGTGGTGGGTGGTGGTGGTTCACTGCGGTAGCTCCTGGACACCCAACGACCTCGCACGACCGGCGAACGGAGCAGCAGCAGCAGCAGCAGCAGCGACAACAAAACATCCCGAGTGGTGACAGCGTGGAGTTATAAATGTCCTTACCCGGTGTCTTGCGATGCAGACGAAATAAACAGCGTCCGAAACTCGTTAGACAACGTTGAAACTTTGACGTCTTCAAATAAATACAAATTGCACGGCTTAACCGCTCCTCCCGCTCCTAACTCCCTCGTTACATCCTGCGCTCTTGTGCGTGTGTGGTAGCAGCAGCAGCAGCAGCTTCCTGCACTGCACCACCCTGCACTCTCAACTCTGCACCACTTTGCACTCTCAAATCGCCCTCTTCCTGCGGTGCTTTTGCGCAAATTATAATCGGAGGTGCTCCTCAGCACGAGGTCAGCAGCCGGCGACGATGATGGTGGTGGTGATGATGGTGGTTGGAAGGATGGAATGTTTGTTCACTCCTCTCGACTCCTCGTGTAAAGTGCTGGGTCGTGATACGGCTATAAGCTTTTCAATCCACCAGCCACCATCACCACCCAACCACCCATCGCAACACACACAAACACACACGACCTCACTCACCCATCCCACTCGCCCACCCCCTCCCACCCAGCGGCGTGCAGGGGCATGCATTTACGCACGAGATAAAAAAAAATCGCGTCGTAAAACAGTAACCGTAAAAAAAACCTAATAAATTAAGACAAATCCAAGAACGGATCTACCGATGAACGAGATTGAGGACTCCGCATAGCAGCGCCCTTCCGTGGGACACGCACGGCGAATGGCTGGCCACATGAACCTTCATGTGGCCACCGCTACGTGCGTCTCTACCAAATGCGACCCGATCAGGGCGATGGTCTGACGAGAAGAGGGTGGCATGCGTGGGATAATGGATCATATCCGAAGGGGGGGCGGGGGGGGGTCATAGTTTTTATAGTTTCATTTATTTGGTATAGCCCTGTGAGCCATTCGGCTCTTGAATCTGGTGCAACCGCAACAAACAAAAAAAAAACATGAACAAGAAAACATCTTAAAGTGACTTTGTGCATGTGCAAACAGAAAATCCAGGAAAAAACATCAAAATATTCTTTAAATAGCACCGTACACCAACGCTGTGTGCAAAAATCCCAGTGGGATGCAATTCAAACAACAACAACAACCACAAGAAAACTTAGATTAAGGCCATCAGTCTAACTCCGTACTACAATGAACAAAAACATGGCCAAACCAAAAAACTTTTAGAAATCACCAAAATAAAGCCATAAATGCAATGTAACAGTGATCATAGGAACTGTGAGCGAATTTTTAACAATAAACTACATAAATAACATGTAACACCAAACCCTAGAGCCACAGCTGGCTGCATGAGTCACTCCACAACATCAGGAGCATCAGTCGAAGTATCACATTTTTCAATGCACCTTTAAGATCAGCACACGAAATAAAAATACAGATAATACTTTGCAGCGGTCATCCGGAGCGAAACATTTTATTTTATTTTAGGCCACTGAATAGCAGTGGCAGCTAGGGGTGTACAACTCCTCTAGAGCAGTTTTGAGTGAAGAGTGGAGATGTGAAGAAGGCGCTTCCGCAAGGGAAAATGGAATGGAAGATAAGGGAAAACAAAAACACAGAGCAGCTCGGTGCGACAATTTGTGAGCAGCTGGATGGGACACTGCACGGGATACGGCGAAGATAGTGAAAGATGAAAAAACATGTCATGGACATAACACTGTAGTCTGTGCTCCTTCAACAGAGGTGAATTAGCAAAGCTCCAATAACTCTCTCTTCTCAAGCCCTCTCGCGGCTCGCACACCTCGACACTTGCATTTCGCTCCTGAACGCATTGCCACGCATTGAACAAAGATCAAAATCAACCCTCGATTGTGAGAACGGCACGGGATAGAGGACAACAACAACAGCAGTGGAAACTCTGGCTCAGAAGCTTGTCGGGTCGCATACGAATGCAAACGGGCTTTCGGACGGCGGTGAGAATCTAATCAAAAGGGTGCGTGTTAGTAAAATCTGCAAGAACATTTTTTTTGTCTGGGCTACAGTGACGCACGGCCAGGTTCGCGGGCGCGAGTTGATCGCGCTACTTGGTTGGTGGTGGTGGTTGGTGGTGGTGGGTGGTGGTCGGTGGTGATGGCATTGGGTGGTGGTTGTGGTGTTGAGCCCGTCGGCGGTGGAGTGGGGTGTGGGTAACAAGGGACAAACGTCGGATTTTTTTTTTTTAAGTGGTCGTACGGAATTATACTGGGGCTAAACATTAACCTGGATTAAATAGAGGAAATCGTAATCTGCTAGCATTGAAGGAGACTTGGATGCGCACGGATTCGGTCTGAGAGTAATAGCATTGGAAAATTGTACCCAACTCTCGGAATATGGCATTGAAGCACAGGGGGTTGCGCATGCCACAGTGCTTCTTTTCGTCCCCCCCCCCACCACCAACGTGGCCGCAATGTTCTCCGAGCGATAACGATATTGAACGTAATTGTTTTCAATTGTGGTAATTGAACATGCCACGTTCCGATAATTGCAAAGCACAGCGCTCCCTCGTGTACGTGGTTACTGGCATTGTAAACAGAATGCGTGGGAACGACAAGTTTACATAAAGAAGTGTACACACAGCTGCTGTGACGACCGAGAAACACACTGAAGCTAACACGTGTCTCTCATATACATATATTTAATTTTACACAGCTATTGGACACATACCCAAAGGCCCAAAATGCAAAAACGGTCAGTAGCAAACAGGACTGTCAAAGTTGTAAGAGATAAGAGTTGACACGTTTGTATACCAAAAGTAGTACGTTGCTTTTCATGATCAAATTCAGTTTTCCAAAAGCACTCCAATCTCGAATCTGCCTCTTTACTCTTATAATTTATATTCCAGTCCACCTTTAACAGCTGTCGCAGGTACATATATTATACAATTTTCCTGTTGCGTAACTCCAAACAAAATCTCCACTATCGCATACCAGTATGCTTGAAAAACTAAGATGTATTCAGTGCCTACTACCAGCTCCGACATATCGGTTCAGAAACAAATGCTTTAACAAAAAAAGTGCGCATAGAACATGGAGAGATGTACGCTTGGAATAACGTATGGGATTAGAATACATAATCGGGTTAAAGACATCACTCAAACTGTTATGAAACCTAAGTGGACTCGGGCAGGACACGTGGCTATAAGGGCAGGTGGCTGATGGTCAAAGACTAACAACGGAATGGCAGCCAAGGGGATGGAACGCATCTGAGAGGGTCCTCGCAGAAGGAGATGGAGTCGAAGAATGCAGCTTGTGTACCGGTGTGAGGCGGTACGTCACTTGATCGCGGGAGATGATGGCCCAATGGGCGCAGTCCCTCCTGGGATGAAAATGGATGAAGAGAAGAAGCGGGTGGCGGTTGTCCCATCCACCCCGATCCACCTGCGGGTGGCACCGCCGGCGGTCCACGAGCGTTAGGCCCTGGGATCCTGCAGATGGAGGAACAGAGCCTCAGTGAGGCACATCATCCGTAACCATACATCCGGCTCCGTCGGGCACATCAAACACCCGGTCATCAGATGGTGAAGATGACACGCCCTCATAAGATGGAAAATAGGGCTTCAGTCATGACGGGTGCACATACCAACGCCTACGGCCAACCTGAATCCGCACACACTGTGGCTTTCTCACCTCAGTTACCTCCACCGGGCCCTGCCATGGCCTATGTACTTTAGGAGATGTGCCTAGAGGCACCTGAGGGCAATGCAGCCATGCCCTCTCCCCAGGCTCCCACGGGTTTCCGGACTCCTTAAGCCCAGCGAGTTTTTCATTTGCAGCCTTCCGCTTGGCCGAATTGAACACGGGACGTCTCCCGTGCTTCTGTTAACCGCTTAAGGGTAAGTAAGTCCGGCACTGTGGCTCTCTTCATTTCTGCGGATTGAATTTCAAATTAGCCGGCTGCAATTGAACAAATACCACACGCCACTGCTGCAGATGTTCCCAGAACGTGCGACCGAAGACAATCACGTCATCTAAATAGATCAGTCATGACTCTCATTGGAGCCCCGACAGTACCAACCCCATAAGTCGCTGAAACGTCGCCAGGGCTGAGTGAAGCCCCATCGGAAGCAAGTTAAATTGAAACAGCCCTTGCGGTGTCTTTCATCCAGGGGCAACTGCCAAAACCCCGACAATAGATCTAGGGTGGAGAAAAACCGCGCCCCCGACAGGGCATCCAATGAATCGTTCATCCATGGGAGTAGATACGCATCCGCCACGGAGACTTTATTTAATTTCCGAAAATCCACACAAAAACGCAAACTCTTGTTCTTTTTAACCAGGACAATGGGAGCACCCCACGGACTGGTTGACGGGGATATTATATCAGTGGCCAACAGCTCATCGACTGCCTGACGAACGTAGTCCTTCTCCTTTGGACTAAACCGAAATGAGTTCTGACGAATGGGAGCTGCGCCACCCGTATCAATATGGTGACGCATCAGGGACGTGCAGCCCACATCGAATTTACCCTTACTAAATACATCGGAGAATTCCCGAAGCAATGCACGCAACTCACCCCTCTGCTTCCACGACAAATCCGGATTAGTCGTCACAACGGATCCATTCACAAGTCATATGACACCCCTTCCTGTTCAACCGCGGCCACGACCAAAGTGGTTACATCATCCGTTTCTCCACAACACGCCGCCATTGTGTGGGCCAACACCGTACCCGCCTGTATGACCGCGATACCCAGCCCAGCATTTAATACTTGCAGGAAGGGCTTCTGATCCCCCCTCACTATCGTCTGGGCCCCTATCAAAGTGAGACCACAATGGGCCTGGATGCATTGGGCTACCTGAATCGAGGACAGGTCATCTTCCTCCGTGACTGGCAGAAAAAAAAAATCGCTCGTTTCTTGAGCCAGCGCCAACAATTTCTCCAGCACCAGAGAATCTAGTCCCACCTGCTCCATCTTTGGGTACGCAGCCTGGGCCAGGGACAATAGTGTGCTGTGGCTGGCAAGGGGCGTCTCGGTCACCCCCCAACTCCGTATCACGAATTTCCGCCGCGCGTTGGACGGCGGGTCAAAAATCGCCGCCAACTGTGCGTATGCTTGCCGCAGCGTCGCCCTGTCCGCCTGGGGAATGGAAAAAAACGACGCCAAGGCATCGTCTAACGTGGTGGGAAGAACACGTAGCGCCTCCATGTCGGACCACCCTGTGAGCTTGCAAGTGGTGGCAAAACGCTGCCGGAAGGCCGCCCAATCACCCCTCGCAGCCAAAAATTCCTTAATAAATGGCAGCCGCTGAGCGAGGGAAGGCGCCCCCGGATGAGCTGTCGGCGGCAGGTTAATTTCGGCAGGACTCGATTCCCGCCCTTGGTCTGTAGTGACGGCGGAGTCGCCCGTCCGCTGCCCCCAAGTCGCAGCCCCCTCCACCGGCTCTTCCTCACCCAGCTGCCCGACCAGCGCCGTCACCGCGGAGAGCAGCTCCACAATGCACACGCTTAGTACCACACGCTTAGTACCACACGCTTAGTACCACACGCTTAGTACCCGCAGCCCTTCTCCAGCCAGCGGCGGCGCGGGATCGTCGTCCTTC